AAGCACCTCTGCTGGCAGAGAATGAGTTTTCATTTTAAATAAGCCCGTCTCCAGCAACATTTCCAGTTTTTGTTGTTGTTCAATTTTTTTGTTTTCTGCAGCGACTCGGAGCACTTTTCATACCCTTTTTTCTGGCTGAAGCACATTTGTTTCAATCTATAAGAATAATCAGCCTACACTACCAGTCAAAAGTTTTTGAACAGTAAGATTTTTAAGGGTTTTTTTTTTTTTAAGAATTCTCTTCTGCTCACCAAGGCTGCATTTATTTGATCTAAAGTACAGCAAAATCAGTAAAATGTTTAAATATTTTTACTATTTAAAATCGCTTTCTATTTGAATAGGTTTTAAAATGTAATTTATTCCTGTGACCATACATAGCTAAAATTTCAGCATCATTACTCCAGTCACATGATCCTTCAGAAATCATTTTAATATGCTGATTTGCTGATTATCAATATTTAAAACAGTTGAGTAAATTTTTTTTTCAGGATTCTTTGATGAATAGAAAGATCCAAAGATCAGCATTTATCTGAAATAAAAAGCTTTTGTAACATTATTCCATTCAGTATAATTTTTATAATTTTTTGGGAAAGAAATTATAGAAATTAATACTTTTATTTAGCAAGGATACTTAAAATTTATCAAAAGTGATGATAAAGGCTTTTATAATGTTAGAAAATATTTCTATTTCAGATAAATAAACCATAAATCATATCGATATCGGAATTATATCGTATCCACCGAAATTAAGAAATATATCGTGATATCAATTTTGGCCATATCGTCCAGCCCTACCTGGAGCTGATCCGTGCTGGTCGCTGAGGAAATACATAAACTTTGCGCTGTGGATCGCCGGATCGGCTTTCACCGTGGACGAAGCGGAGTCCAGCCCGGGGTCATCACATGTGGTTGCTGCAAGCCCGCCGGACGCTCCTTCGTCGAATCCGCCAGCCGCGTCGTTCTCAAGCCCGCCGCCTCCACTCACTGTGACGCTGTTTCGTTGTGAAAGCGAAACTACTTTGTTTGGTCTTCCAAAAGAGCACACGACTAGAAATCAGTGGTTAAGTTGTATTTACAACACTGTTCCAGAACAGTTCAACCCAAATATTCAGATGTGTGCAGCACATTTTATGGAGGACTGTTTCCTGATCCTGGCCTTTAAGAATTGTGTATAATTTTTGTTTCATTAACATTGTGTAACTCAACATTGTTGTCTCTTATCATATTGCTGTTGCTGCCATTGTATTCCCATAATATGCCACTCAAGGCTGCTGTGTGGGATTTTTAGGCCCACACATCCGGAAACTTGGGAGACCCAAAAATAAATCTCGCCATCTGTTTGTTTCCTCTTCCCATGTGCATTTTTCAGATGATGAAGCGGGTATACAAGGGGATTCCCTTGAAGCTGCGCGGTCAGGCCTGGGCTCTGCTGCTGGACGTGGAAAAGGTGAAAGAGGCGAATTGCAGGAAGTACGAGGTAGGAGCTTTGCAGGAATCGTGTTTGTGAGATGTGTTTGGGCTCCATTAGGTCTTTTGAATGAAAAAGTGGCTGTTTGATGTTCATTTATTCAATGACTCGCTTGTTTGGGTTTTGGTTTGTCCTGTGTGATTGTCTGAGTTTAATTAGCCAGATGTGTTTTGTCTCCAGTCTGGCCTTTTGGCACAACAATGTTTTATTTCACAACAAAGGTTTTCTGCGTTGCATGCTTTGTGTAGTCTGACAATTATTACATAAGATCCAAGGTATTACATAAAAAATACAATAAAAGTTGCTAGAATAAGCTGCGATAAGTTGACCAGTCTTTACATCGCAAACCAAAAGTCTGATTAACTGAAAAACGGTAGGCTATACACTACCGTTCAAAGGTTTGGGGTCTTAATTACTACTTTTATTCAGCAAGGACACATTAAATTGATTAAAAGTGAGAGTAAAGACATTTATAATGTTAATTTGTTTTTTTTAAATAAATGCTGTTCTTTTGAACTTCTATTCATCAAAGAATAATAATTGATAATACAATTCAACATTGAAATGTTTTTGAGTAGTAAATCAGCATATTAGGATGTTTTCTGAAGGATCATGTGACACTGAAGACTGAGTAATGATTCGCTAAAAATTCAGCTTTGATCTCAATATATGATAATAGAAAACAGTTAAGTTAATATTTCACACTATTATTGTTTTTACTGTATTTTTGATCCAATAAATGTATAGGAGACTCAAAAAAAACAAAACGTTAAAAACATTTTAAAAAAATCTTACGGACTCCAAACTTTTGAACAGTAGTTTAAGAACTACCATCTTGTTTTTACCATCTGTTTTCAGTCATTTCAGAATCTTTAACTTTCAAGAGTTTTATTTATAACTGAACGTGTATCTATATCTCAATTTCTAAATATATCTAGGTGCCGCTGTAATATTTATAACTTGTTTGCTGCTCTCACGAATGTAAATAGCAGAAGTGTAGCGCTTAAATGGAAACCAGTGGCTATCAAGGTTCCGGAATGAGAATTTAGATGCAGGTTTGATGGTTTGGTTTAGATGCACTGTAGTTCAAGTACTGCGCTGCAGTGACAATCAGTCACCTGCTAATGTTCTAAATATATAAAAGTAAAATCAGCCTTATTGTACATGCATTGTTTTAAAAATGTTCACTGTGGATTTAATTAGACGGCTAGTTCATCCCAAATGATCATTTCTAAATGTACTGTATATACTGTTGTTGTTTTTTCCTGTGGAAAGTTAATGCAGCTCTTTCTGTACAACAGTTTATAGTGACAATGTTAACAAAAATAAATAAACAATATGTGGAGATAACCATTAGTAAGCCATTTGTAGTTTGACTTTCTGATAGGGATGCGCCGAAATAAAAATTCTTGGCCGAAACCAAACAAAATGAAACGCAGGCAAAAGGCAGAATACCTGCACGTTTTTCCCCCTCATGTATTTTGCCAGTTTTTTCACCATCGCATAAATTAAATAGCCAAAATGTGCTTTTTGCTGTCTTGTCTTGCTTTTCAAAGAAAAAAAATCAATTACAAAACAATTAAAAAATATTTACTTAACACTGAACATTTTTTAACATTCTAGCAGACATTATACCAACAAAGCACAATTTAAGTTCAAATTAATAAGTTAGTAAAATAATATTTTTTTGAATCGGGCATGTATTTTTTACTGTACAAATAAATGCGCCCTTGCTGAGCAGAAGCGAATCTTTTAAAACATTAGAAAATATTACGGATCCCAATTTGAACAACTATGTGAATGTAGTTGTTGTAATTAGTAGTATCATTATTATTGTCTTTTTTATTTTATTTGACAAAACTGTAAAATTACAATAATAAAACGTATGAATGTTGATGGAGTTCTTGCTTTTTATCTGCTTTTATTTCGGCGGAAACCCGCAGGAAGACCTCAGCGCTTCTTGTTGTTGACCACAGCAGATTTATAAATGCTTCTCAATACAGATTTGGGAAGATGTTTGTCTCGCATAGCCTATCGCAATGTCACACACATGCCTTGTAAAAATTCATAAAAATGTTACTGAGCAACTGACGAGTAAAACTTTTTCACAGTGCAGATTTTCTTCGCGCTTTGGACTTTGAAACCTGGCGCCGTGAGCTCGTGCAGTGCTTTAATACATGCAATCCATGCGTGTATTAGAAAACAACATTCTGCAGTTTATTCACTAATTAAGGCCATTTTGTGATTTCAATCATCATACAGTAACCAGCAACAACCACCCCTTCCTCTTCTCATCGAAGACATGCGATGCAGTACTTAACAGTCTCTCGCTGTCAGTACTTGTAATGATTTTTGCATCTTTCTCGGACAGTTTTAAATGCTTCCACACTGCCGACATGTTTGCTGCATTAGTGCGCGCCTCTATTTGATCGCGTCACGTCATTGTTTAGTACAAATGATTCTGTCTTTTCACTTATTCGGCCAGATACCGAATTAGTTTTTTTTTTGCTATTTTCGGCCGAATTTCAGTTGCCGAACATTCGGTGCATCCCTACTTTGAGTATATTGCTGTATTTACTCCACTTGTTTGAGCAGTGTCAGGAGTTTGGGGTTGGGCTACCTGTTTGTCTGACCAATGGCAGATAGAGGAGTGTTTGGGAAATTTTGTTATTTTTACAATTCTGTTTGGTGCGGCTAATGCTAAAATTTTGCATTGAAATTCTAATTTGTTCATTGGCAACTTTTTTGTTTTAATGTTGTTGCAGAAAATGAAGGAACAAGCCAAGAAGTATTCGACAGAAATTAAGCAGATTGATTTGGATGTCAACAGGACCTTCAGAAACCATATCATGTTCATGGAACGCTTTGGGGTCAAGTAAGATATTTCACAAATTCATACATACACACGCACAAGAAAGCATTTCTTTATCTTCATTTGACTCGAGGTCTGTTTGGCAAGCAGACTTTGAGTCAAATGAATATAAAGAGTTTCGAGTTGAGATGTTTCTGAAATGAAGTGCTCAGACCTTGTAAACTTAACCAAAACAAGAGCTACTTCCTCTTTGTGACTGAGTTTTTGTTCAACTTCCTGATACTGTGAGCAGCCTCACAGGAAATGACACAACCGGTGACTCGTTACCATTATGCCCAGAATAAATATCTACTTTGATGTTGTCCATAACAACTAAAGATCTGCCACAGTGTCATGAAAAAAATGATTTCCTTTTGTACAGGACAATCATAAAGACCCACTTGGGATTGTATATCCTCTTAAAAATGGACAGACATCAAAAACATTTGGGTTATTTTTTCCATTTTTCAACTGCCAATTTGACAGAAAATGAGTGCAGCATGATTTTTTAAAACAAAATATTGACCAGATGGCCCTCAATAACCTTTCAGTAAATTTGACATGTAATAGTGTCATCCAACTTACTTAACAAATTGAAAGAGGCTTGTAGACCAAAGTGCATGAAGAGGTTTCAGCCATGTGGTTTGCTTGGGCGGCACACCCACAACAGACATAGATCAAGCACCAGCCTCTCTGCATGGGGTATCTGGCGGATGGAAGCTCTGAGCAATGACTTCTACATTTTTATTAGCGCTGCACAGCGAATAAGAGGATATGGGGCGGAAGTGCTGTTTAACACATCTGTTGTTTGCTTGTGTTGCTTCTAAATGTGTTTCTACAGCACGCTAGTCACAATTCTGCTTTCCTCTGGCCTCTTATGAAGGGTCTTGCTGTGCATTGCTAAATCTTCTCAAATTTGCAGACGTTATGAATTATTAACGCGCATCTCCTGATGTGATGACTTATGCATGAATGGACTCTTGCTGCTACTGTGAGCTGGTTTCTTTCTGCTGTTCGATTTGGGCTGGTCCCTCAGTGCTTTTTGGACAAAATTTTGTTGGGTTAATGACAAAGATGGATCAATGTTGGGGAAAAAAGGACAAATTTTAATCGTTGAATTCTTGTTGGGTTCATATATTTTTGAAAAACATATTTTAATAGAAAATTTCAGCTTTTTTACCCAAAATACATTTATCTAACGACTCATAGAAAAGTATTTTTAAAAATGTATCTGTTGGCATAAACATCATTGACCATGAATACCGTGAAGTTTTCTTAGGGTTATACCTTGCCATCTCATGAAAAGATCAAATTAATTTGACCCTTTTTATGAGACTCACCTTGCCACACAGTTATACCACACTTTGTTTTCGCAGATAATTTTTTTTTAAATATTAATAATTTATTTCACTATTTCTTATGAAATCTAAAAGTTGGAAAATTACTTTTTTCCAGGAACTAGTCTTTTTTAAGATTTTTTTTTTTTCTGTTATATGGAGGCTGGTTTCTGTCATAGAAATTAAAAAAAGGGTAATTGCAACTTTTTTTTCTCACAATTATTATCTTTTTATTTCTCAATTCTTGAGAATAATATAAACTCAGAAATGTAAGATATAAAGCTACAACTGTGAAGATTGTGAGATTAAAAAGTCACAATTGCCGTTTTTTTTTAACCATTGGCGGAAACAGGCTTCCATGGTATTACAATGATTATACCATCTGACATTTTTGGCATTATGCACTTACAAAACATATAAAACAATGTAATTTATAAATCGAATCAAACTTTTTATAGATGTAAAAATTCATAAAAATGTTACTGAGCAACTGACGAGTAAAACTTTTTCACAGTGCAGATTTTCTTCGCGCTTTGGACTTTGAAACCTGGCGCCGTGAGCTCGTGCAGTGCTTTAATACATGCAATCCATGCGTGTATTAGAAAACAACATTCTGCAGTTTATTCACTAATTAAGGCCATTTTGTGATTTCAATCATCATACAGTAACCAGCAACAACCACCCCTTCCTCTTCTCATCGAAGACATGCGATGCAGTACTTAACAGTCTCTCGCTGTCAGTACTTGTAATGATTTTTGCATCTTTCTCGGACAGTTTTAAATGCTTCCACACTGCCGACATGTTTGCTGCATTAGTGCGCGCCTCTATTTGATCGCGTCACGTCATTGTTTAGTACAAATGCTTCTGTCTTTTCACTTATTCGGCCAGATACCGAATTAGTTTTTTTTTTGCTATTTTCGGCCGAATTTCGGTTGCCGAACATTCGGTGCATCCCTACTTTGAGTATATTGCTGTATTTACTCCACTTGTTTGAGCAGTGTCAGGAGTTTGGGGTTGGGCTACCTGTTTGTCTGACCAATGGCAGATAGAGGAGTGTTTGGGAAATTTTGTTATTTTTACAATTCTGTTTGGTGCGGCTAATGCTAAAATTTTGCATTGAAATTCTAATTTGTTCATTGGCAACTTTTTTGTTTTAATGTTGTTGCAGAAAATGAAGGAACAAGCCAAGAAGTATTCGACAGAAATTAAGCAGATTGATTTGGATGTCAACAGGACCTTCAGAAACCATATCATGTTCATGGAACGCTTTGGGGTCAAGTAAGATATTTCACAAATTCATACATACACACGCACAAGAAAGCATTTCTTTATCTTCATTTGACTCGAGGTCTGTTTGGCAAGCAGACTTTGAGTCAAATGAATATAAAGAGTTTCGAGTTGAGATGTTTCTGAAATGAAGTGCTCAGACCTTGTAAACTTAACCAAAACAAGAGCTACTTCCTCTTTGTGACTGAGTTTTTGTTCAACTTCCTGATACTGTGAGCAGCCTCACAGGAAATGACACAACCGGTGACTCGTTACCATTATGCCCAGAATAAATATCTACTTTGATGTTGTCCATAACAACTAAAGATCTGCCACAGTGTCATGAAAAAAATGATTTCCTTTTGTACAGGACAATCATAAAGACCCACTTGGGATTGTATATCCTCTTAAAAATGGACAGACATCAAAAACATTTGGGTTATTTTTTCCATTTTTCAACTGCCAATTTGACAGAAAATGAGTGCAGCATGATTTTTTAAAACAAAATATTGACCAGATGGCCCTCAATAACCTTTCAGTAAATTTGACATGTAATAGTGTCATCCAACTTACTTAACAAATTGAAAGAGGCTTGTAGACCAAAGTGCATGAAGAGGTTTCAGCCATGTGGTTTGCTTGGGCGGCACACCCACAACAGACATAGATCAAGCACCAGCCTCTCTGCATGGGGTATCTGGCGGATGGAAGCTCTGAGCAATGACTTCTACATTTTTATTAGCGCTGCACAGCGAATAAGAGGATATGGGGCGGAAGTGCTGTTTAACACATCTGTTGTTTGCTTGTGTTGCTTCTAAATGTGTTTCTACAGCACGCTAGTCACAATTCTGCTTTCCTCTGGCCTCTTATGAAGGGTCTTGCTGTGCATTGCTAAATCTTCTCAAATTTGCAGACGTTATGAATTATTAACGCGCATCTCCTGATGTGATGACTTATGCATGAATGGACTCTTGCTGCTACTGTGAGCTGGTTTCTTTCTGCTGTTCGATTTGGGCTGGACCCTCAGTGCTTTTTGGACAAAATTTTGTTGGGTTAATGACAAAGATGGATCAATGTTGGGGAAAAAAGGACAAATTTTAATCGTTGAATTCTTGTTGGGTTCATATATTTTTGAAAAACATATTTTAATAGAAAATTTCAGCTTTTTTACCCAAAATACATTTATCTAACGACTCATAGAAAAGTATTTTTAAGAATGTATCTGTTGGCATAAACATCATTGACCATGAATACCGTGAAGTTTTCTTAGAGTTATACCTTGCCATCTCATGAAAAGATCAAATTAATTTGACCCTTTTTATGAGACTCACCTTGCCACACAGTTATACCACACTTTGTTTTCGCAGATATATATTTTTTTAATATTAATAATTTATTTCACTATTTCTTATGAAATCTAAAAGTTGGAAAATTACTTTTTTCCAGGAATCTAGTCTTTTTTAAGATTTTTTTTCTTCTGTTATATGGAGGCTGGTTTCTGTCATAGAAATTAAAAAAAGGGTAATTGCAACTTTTTTTTCTCACAATTATTATCTTTTTATTTCTCAATTCTTGAGAATAATATAAAAAATGTATCTGTTGGCATAAACATCATTGACCATGAATACCGTGAAGTTTTCTTAGGGTTATACCTTGCCATCTCATGAAAAGATCAAATTAATTTGACCCTTTTTATGAGACTCACCTTGCCACACAGTTATACCACACTTTGTTTTCGCAGATAATTTTTTTTTAAATATTAATAATTTATTTCACTATTTCTTATGAAATCTAAAAGTTGGAAAATTACTTTTTTCCAGGAACTAGTCTTTTTTAAGATTTTTTTTTTTTCTGTTATATGGAGGCTGGTTTCTGTCATAGAAATTAAAAAAAGGGTAATTGCAACTTTTTTTCTCACAATTATTATCTTTTTATTTCTCAATTCTTGAGAATAATATAAACTCAGAAATGTAAGATATAAAGCTACAACTGTGAAGATTGTGAGATTAAAAAGTCACAATTGCCGTTTTTTTTTAACCATTGGCGGAAACAGGCTTCCATGGTATTACAATGATTATACCATCTGACATTTTTGGCATTATGCACTTACAAAACATATAAAACAATGTAATTTATAAATCGAATCAAACTTTTTATAGAAGAGTCTCATTCAAGATTCAAGTGGATTTTAATGTATTCCTCAATAAATTACTAGATCCAGTCACAGAAATATTAGCATCATGTCATTGACCTTGTTACTACATACACTGAAACTAGATGTGTGAAATCCTAATTATAGCCATCATGTAATATATTGAAAACTGTTTTTTTTGACCCGTGTTATTTGTCCTTTACAGACAGCAAGCACTGTTCCATGTGCTGGCAGCGTATTCGGTCTACAACACGGTAAGAGGCTACTGACCAATCAGAAACATGCCATGCATGGTGAGTAAGTCTCTCTGACTCTGTGTGTAGATACATAGATCTCTTTGTTTTTGTAGTACACTCTGTAATTGGTGATACATCTCTGTGTCTTCCTCTGTGGATTCTTAAAGGATTCTTCATCCCGGGGTTTCCCAAACTCCAGCGATTTCAGGTTCATCATGACCAAATACTGTCCAAACTCCTTCCCAAACTCAGGAAACACTTGGTGAGATTTCTTATTTTAACCTCAAGTTGTTTGCCTTTTAACAAAATATAAACACTTTCTCAGTTTTTCCAATGTTTTCTTCAACTCAGGATAAGGAACAGATGTCCACTGGTATCTACACAACCAAATGGTTCCTTCAGTGTTTTATTGACAGGGTGAGGCATCATTTTAATTTTCACTGTTTTATATCACTAGTAAAAGGTCTCAGTTATGGAGTTGATACTTTCAATAAATCACAATGAAATATAAAACATGTTACATTCTTGTATGAATATGAGGCGGGTATGTCCAAACTGGTTTTCCAGTGACAAAAGTGACACAATGCAACCTTAACAAATATATATGATGGATCCTAGTACACTCAGAAAACAAATTGCAAAAAATGTACCTTTAGGGGTTAAGCAGCTTGTCACTGGGTAGTAGCCTAAAGAGACATCTTGTAGCTTATTTACCCCTAAAAGTTTCATAGTGGTACTGTAAGGGCACCTATTACTACTCTAAAATATGGACCTTTTCGGTGTAGATAAATGGTGTAATTGTGCTCTCTTTCTGGACCCACCTCTTTTTGATCCAGTCCAGGCCCTGGACAGAAGGTCTAGTTTACCACCCTATCAGTGGCCTTGCCTCGACAGGACATCATTTTTCACCAGCCGAGTCCAAATTTTGCAACTCTGTGCTGAATACTCAATGAGAATTACGTAATTTGTATACAGCGAGTTTTTGTGTGAAAAAGACTGGAAACATCATCTGCTAAGTTTCATATGGTTGGGCTGAACCCTTTAGAGAATCCTGTGTCAATGTTTTATTCATATTGAAGCTCTGCTTAGCTGGTTGATGACTTGAGTCTGTTGTGTTTCTACTATATAGACACCCTTTACACTCACCCTGCGCCTTTGGGACATCTACATATTAGAAGGAGAAAAAGTTCTAACCGCCATGGCCTATACGCTCCTCAAATTGCACAAAAGTAAGTAAGAATCCCACTTTGGATCTCTGAAGACCCACATGAGCTGTCACCATGTCCAGTATGTACAGCATAGAACCGTATAGTGGTTAAAGATCAGGTTCCCGAAAGTTTGTAGGTGCAGATGCCACATATGGTGATTTATAAACTATCATCATTGCACCCTTGAGCAAGAAACTTAATTTAGGGTTATTCAAGATACACTCACTGGATTAAGTGTACTGGATTAATTGACTTGTTAGTAATTATCTATGATGTAAAATTTAAAAGAGAGTTTCTGGTAAACTGTTAAAACAATGTTTAATCTGGGCAGTAGTGCTCAAAAACGAGTTGTGGTTGTAGTGGTAAATCAGCTGCCTAGATGTTCTATCAGCCAGAAGTTCTTTAATTTTCATGTTTGGGTAGTGTAGATTAGTTTAATTAGAAGCTTATAAAGTCTAAAGCCTCATTCTTTTTCCATCAGAGCATCTTCTGAAGATGTCTCTGGAGGACTTGAGGGAGTTTCTGCAGGAGCGTATTGCTTCTTCCTTCAGCATGAGCGATGATGCTGTTATTGAGCACCTACAGTTGTCTATGTCAGAACTCCGCAGGATGAAGCTTGACCTCCCTGCTCCAGGTAAAAGACAGAATGTGTTTTCTTGTAAATGAGAACATTCTGAGCAAATACCAAAGAGAATAATTAAGGAAGCCTTGTTCACAAGATTCTGAATGTCTTTAGAGTCTGCAAAGTGTGGACCAGGGGTTCTCAACTCTGGCACCCGTGGTCCACTTTCCTGCAGAGTTTAGCTCCAACCCTAATCAAACACACCTGAACAATCTAATCTAGGTCTTCAGGACAATTTCTAGAAAGTTACTGGCAGGTGAGTTTGAGTTGAAACTCTTGGAGCTAAACTCTGCAGGAATATGAACCTTGAGGGCCAGAGTTGAGAATCCCTGGTGTAGACTCAAAAATAAAGGTTACAGTTAGAGAAGCTTCCACAAAGCAATTATTATGCCATAGATGTTTAGAAAACCATTTGGACAGGTGATTCAAAGAAGCTGGAAGCTCTCGCTAACCTATAATATAGGGATTCTCAACTCTGGACCTCGAGATCCACTTTACTGCCGAGTTTAGCTCCAACCTTAATCAAACACACCTGAACAAGCTAATCAAGGTCTTCTCGATTACTACAAAGTTGCAGGTACGTGTGTTTAATCCAGGTTGGAGCTAAATGCTGCAGGAAAGTGGATCTTGAGGTCCAGAGTTGATGACCCCTGTTATAATGTAACATTAAGACCCATATGGCCAACTCAACAATAAAAATGGTCTTTGATTAAAAGAGGGTTATTTGCTGAACCTTGAAAAAAACTTTCTTCTAAAGAGTGTACTGTGGTTGTATGCAATTCTAGACTATTATAACAACTCTTTTTTTTCTGGGTTTGACTTGTAGCCAAGGGAGATGAGTTCCCAAAGATACCCCTGGGCGAGGAGCGTTCAATAGTACTGCTTCCAGTAATCAAGACTGAGTGTGTACCCTTACCACCATCAGCACACAACAGTCAAACCTCAAACAAGCTTCAGACAGAAGACACCACCACCCACAAGCAGAGCAAAGAAAAATACATCCCTACCATTACCTCATCTTCCCCTCTTTCAAAGCACACCCACTCAACTTCCAACTCTTTACTGTCACAAGCTACACCTGAAGAACCAGGGACCACGGTGAAGAATGAAGACAGTGCACCTGTACAAAGACCAGATAATCTACTACACCCAGAATCTGCACTGTTTTCAGCAGAGACACTTTCGTTGAAGAATGAATGTGTTAGTAGAACCCTATCAGCGGTGTCTGAAGATTGGCCTCCTCCGTACCAGCCACCCATAACAGATTCATCCAGTATCCACTCTTTCAATCTCCCAGAACTACCTCCTCCACCTCTTCCCTGTACAAAAGAAGGGTTTGAGCTTTCACCTCTAGAAGAGGATGTCCCATTTTGCCTTCCTCCACCACCACCACCAATTACCCAACCTTTGGATCTCATCTTAGAAGATCCATCTTCATCACCTTCCTCGTATAGATCCTATCGGCAGCTAAGCAAGTTTCCGGTCAACCTTTATGTGCCACCATCATCAGGTGACCGGAGACCTTCCAACACCTCGCATTACGACAACCTCTCAGAAGAGGAGGATCTGTCTGTGGAGAGGCTGCTGGAGATGGTGGCCACATTGCCGCAAAACTCAAACTTGAGTCTCATGAACACCACCCTTCCCCTTCCTCCAGAAGATGCCATGTCTCTTCCTCTACCGCCCCCATCTATGTTCTTCTACACGCCTGAATCTTCGCCACTCCCTCCACATCCTTCATGCATTGAGGCGGCAAACAGTTGGGTGACTCCAGACTGCATTTTTCCCCAACCACCTATTGACTTTGCAGATAAACCCAACCTTGTATCTTTAGTCCCGTGCAATCAGGTGGTTCCAGACCAGACTGATCAAGATAGGAGTCAGTCACAGCTCCCAAGACTACCGGCCAAAAAATCACGACCCAATCAGGTGGTTCCAAACCAGACTGATCAAGATGGGAGTCAGTCACAGCTCCCAAGACTACCGCCCAAAAAATCACGACCCACAATGCTCTCTCCTGTACACTCTGATTCAGACTTCTGTCGAATGCATGTTTCAAGTCATTAGTTGCTGGAGTCACACTTAAGTAGTGTGAACTGAAGGCATGTTTCCATCGTTTGGACTTTTGTGCTTCGATGATATCAAGTGAACATATTTCAATATTTTAGGTGTTGCAATGTGTGTTATATATGACTGATCTAAACAGAATGCTAGAATGTGTTTTATCAGTGTGTCATGCAAAAGTGATGTACCGGAATCTCCTTTTCTTAGGTGAAGCATTATAGTTGTAGCAGTTATCAGAATAACCATTTAGCTAGTTGAGTAACCAATCTTCTAGGTAGTCGTCATGTGGTTTGAAATTATATCTTTAATTTGTTTAGTATTTGAGTTACTGATATTTCCACTGGTCAACACAGAATACGTGACATTCACCATTATTTTGTTTGTGTCTCTGTTGTTTTCTGGGAGATATTATGTTCCCCGCAATTAGATCAGTTGTTATTTCTTTCTTATGTTTTATTGGTTGGTTTTATATCTTGGTGCAATTGTGTTTTCTTTTTAAACTTTGGTTATATTATGAAAATGCATCTAACGATGCACATTAAATATGAAGATGTTGTGGAAATGTAAACAAGGATCTTACCACACTGACATAAGTTCCCTGATTACATTGAAAGGGCATTTTTCAGTGGTCTCTGATTTGCTCAAAAAGGAAATTCCTTCAACTGTAAACCTTAGTGCTGTGTACTGCCCTCTTTCGCCATCTTGTGGAAGATGATGAAGCACAGCTTGGTCAAAAATTATATACTGGGAAATACAGCCACCACACTGAATGTTAAAATGAAGAAACTGTATATTCAAGGTCATTTAATGGCTTTGTTGTGTAATTGTAAATAGAACAGGTTTGATTTGTACTTTGTTGTTTGTATTCAGAGCTTATATTTAATTGCATTTATATTATGCTTCTGAGGTTAAATGGTCTTGATGTTCAGTCTATTGAAACTTTTAAACCCAGGTTAATGTTTGAACTTTTTGAACTCATGCTCATTTGACATTTTATTAACTAAAAAAAACTTGTTTTCCTTGTTGCAACAATGAGACAATACATAAAGTGGAGTGTTTATTTTAATATTTACATTATTGCTGTTGTCGATTCTAATTTCACATTCAGAGGTATATGGCACAAGCACAACGTGATAAAATATACCAGGGTCAAATATTTCTTTATAAATTAATATACATTCACTTGCCCTTTAATTGATTTAAAAGCAAACCTACATCACAGATCTGCCTGATTGGTAACAGCATTTAACAAGCACTTGAAGCCATTCATTTTAAACAGCATTTAACAAGCACTTGAAGCCATTCATTTTACCTTTCTACCATAATTTAACCTTCATAAAGGCACCATTGTTGCATTATTCTCACAGGTAACCACTTATAAGTCATATGACAAACAGGATTGCATAAACATAGTTTGTATTGTAAACAAGTGCAATAATAATAATATGCATAATGCTTCACAGGAAGCCAAGATAAAGTCTTCAGTGCTATTGCTGTCAGATGGAGGACTGTCGCTACACAGTGGCTGCTGTGAGAATATAAGATAAGCTAGTATTGCAGGAAGGACTAAAGTGCATCTTTACCTTCCGCGAGAAATTGACTGTCTTAAAGCTGCGATTGTAACAGAGCTTGCAGAGAAAATGCACCATTTGTAGAGGTGATGCAGTTTCATCCAGTACCTGAGTTACAATCTCAGCTGCATGAAGAGGTTGACCTGACATGCCACACTCTCCCTCAGCTTCATTTCTTCCTCTGAACCCAGAGCCACTCCTGGTAATCGGGTAGAGCCGTTTTCCCCGAGGATGCAAGGCAAGCTGAGGAACACTTTAGAACCGATTCCACCCCAACCCTGAAAGAAGGTAATGCCACGAGACAACAGAGGATTGCATTTAGATAATCTCAAAATTAACAGACATGGATTAAAATACAAAAAGTGTTTTATTTTCACAGTCTCTATCGTTTTTCAGTGTGGATATGTTCAAGTCTGCATCAGTGGCTCCTATACTAATAGTTGATATAAAAGGTTTGCATTTACAAAATTTCATTTACACAACTTTGACAATCTAGATATCTAAAATGTAAAAATCTTTACAAATGTTAGTTGCATTTTAACTCCTTAACTGTCTGCTATTTTTTATTGCCTTTTTTTTACCTACCAATTATCATTTTAAAGCTTAAACACTCAAAATGCATCCGTTTTAAAATCGGACATTGTGTTACAATAGAAATTATACTATAACTCTTATAGCAGGCTCCTCCCCCTAGTGGGTGGTGTCAAGTGTCATATTACAAAATTTACTATACTATTTGTGTCAAAACTTTCTATAATCTTGACAAAATATAAAACATATCATTGGAAATGTCAAGGTTCCATATTTGGTGGTTATTTTGTGATAAGTAATATTTTGACAGAAATTTATTAAAAAAAAAAAAATTTTTTAAGTAGTTTGGGTGTCAACCAGTGGTTATTTTTGGTATAATGCCTAAATAAAATTTTATAGGATCCTCAATTTTTGTTAGAACAACTTTGGAACATAACTTTAGACATGGAATTCATTTTATAGTAATTTTAGATTCCATATATATATATATATATACATATATACATACATGCATATATATATTTTAATTGTTTATAATAATACAAAAATAAATAACTTTTTAGTACAGTACATTTATATTACAGTAAACTAACTTCTAGATCGTTGTTTTAATACTTTCATTTTTCTCTTCAGCAATAATAGACATTTTCACGTCTAATTTTTTATTATTATTATTAACAGAATATATTAATTTACTTATTCATTTTGTGATTTCATAAATTTCAAGAACTGTATGTTCTTTAATAAAGCAACAACAAAAACAACAACATTTACATGTTGCTGAATGTAGTTTGTTTATTAAAACGACATTTTCAGTTTACATCTTGATTTATTCGTTTTTTAATATTCCAAGTGATTTTAAGTGATCATTTTAAAATAAAATCATTTTAATTCATCCTGCATTCCTCTGGCTGAGAAACACTCCTCTAAACACACATGCACAACTTACACACACATACTTACTGAATACACATTCTATAAGGTAACTTACCTCAGCCAGTGTTGTGACAGAGTGTATCTTCTTCTTGTCCGTTACAATGCTGTGAATAATGTCAGCAATGGACAACCCGACTGACCATGACCTCTGACCTCTGCCTTTGAGCATCTCTAACGCCCTGAGAACATATCAAACAGTTCACAATTCACAATGCAGTAACAAACCTCAAATTAACAATTCATTCTTTGAAATTATATGAAAAATATCTGGATGCTGATCATTTAAACCCATACCTGTCCATTAATGGTTTGGTGGAGTTGGACACTGGAGTTAACGCTTGTAGCTGGTCAGTTCCCGGCCCCATATTACCCCACAATGCCACTGATACACAACCAGAGAGAGCCATTACATTTAATATTTAAAACCACTCTGGCCTCAGAACATTAATGCACACTTCATGTGTTAATATGACCATGATGCAAATTGTTAGCAATTTAACAACTGTTTATCTAGAATAACTGTCCAGTTTTCAGTTCCACAAATCCTCTTTTAGGGTTTATGCACGTTTTATGAAGGTAAATTTAAGACTTTAAGACCTTCTTAAGACCAATTAAGAAAATGTAAGGACTTGTTGTAACACTTAAAAGTTTGAAAATACAATTTCCAACCGTACTTTTACTGTACCTTCTGATCACACTGAACACAAGTTATTTCTTACTATTTTTGTTTTGTTTTCAGTGCAAATCCCCAGAAATTCTTAAAGGTCCCATATTGTCAAAACTGAAATTTCCTGGCTTTTTTTTTTTTACGATTACTGAGGGCTAGGGGCTATTTAACTACCATATAAGTTTCAAAACAGTAAAATGCACACAGCCTGCATAAAGTAGCTGTGATTTTTCACGAACCGTTGTAACTTCCGTAAAAAGTTGATGTCAGAACTACACAGTCACCGCCATATATGTTACTATGAGGTGATCACATCTAACGTGTAAAGTAAAGACAATCTCACCGTGTCTATCTAGTCATGATGAAGATGTATATACATTTCAATTTCAACTGGCAACTATTTTTACAGCTACATTATTGTTCCAGCCACAATTAATCACAACAATGTATATACAATTACAAATGATTATATATAAATCGTCAGTTTGTTGTTTTATACACATGCACACAGACATTATTTCATACACGACATAGTCGTGAGATGCAAGAAACATAGACATATGGCAAGAAATCTGTAGATGCGCTCATAACAACAAAATACAATACTTTATTGAACCTTTTCTGATAAGAAGTGTGCGCTGCAAACGCGAGCATTTTTGACTATCGTTTCTGTCCAGTCTGCTCGTTTTATCGCGTTTAATCACAGCTGTCGTCGGTTTTTTGTCTGGCAGTGGCAGCAGATATGCGATCAAATTTCTAATTTGAGGCTGTATTACGTAGATTCTGGCAACCAACATCACAACAAGATGCAGAGGAGCCGTAAAAATATATTGAGATGGTTTTTGGTACTTATACTGCATTAAGGACAGGGCTGTCCAAACTCGGTCCTGGAGGGCCGGTGTCCTGCAGAGATTAGCTCCAACCCTAATTAAACACACCTGAACCAGTTAATCAAGCTCTTACTAGGCATAGAAACTTCCAGTCAGGTGTGTTGAGGCAAGTTGGAGCTAAACTCTGCAGGACACCGGCCCTCCAGTACCGAGTTTGGACAGCCCTGCTTAAGGACATCAAAACATAAAATAAAATTCCAGAAAGGTGTCCAATATGTGACCTTTAAATCAAAGCAGATGCAAAGATGACATGATAAAGTCGTCTTGTTTTCTGGGAAATGTATCAAAATGAAGTGATTTTATGATGGAAAGGACATAAAAAGGACAAATATCTGAACTCAGAAAATGTCTGTTTCTCCTTGTTTTAAACATGGTCTAATTTGGTTACATTTTTTATACCTTCAGTTTGCATCTCAAATAAATGCATCTTGATTTAAGAATGTTTTAATATTTGTACTGGAAAACAAAACTGAAGAAGATATTCATTGTTTTGCATTGCATGCAACATTGAATGCCATGAGTTTATAGATTTAAGACTTTCTGCTACTTTCTTAAGACTTTAATTTTGTGGAAGGGCAAATTAAGAGTTTGAAACCGTGTTTGTTAAAATATTTTAATGTGCTTGTGATCGACTCACCCTTGTTCTCGGACAGTTCTCCGATGACCCAGGCCTGCTTGCCTGTGCTATTCGCCACCAGTGAAATGTTGATGATGTGAGACAGTCTCTCCGAGTCCAGATTACAGCCCACACCGATCACCTGAGTGGGCAGAAGATGACTCTGTCTCCAGGCAACATGTGTCATAACGTCCACTGTGGACAGAAAGGTCAAGAGGTCACATACATGGTCTACAAAGCAAGACTTTGCTGTCTGTTAGATTTTAGATGAGTAATTGCTTATTAAATTGTGAAACATTCACTATAAGAATAGAAGAAAATAAATAGGGCCGATTTTGAATTTCTGTTGTCTTTAAGCAGAAGCTGAGCGAGCAGAAGATGACTCAGTGTTTGCGAACCTGGTTGAGAGGCGATGAGCAGCACGGCTTTCGGACTGAGTTGGGCGAGACGAGGGATGATGCCTCCGTACATGTCCACATTAGTCTGAACCACACTCAGATATGACTGCTCATCACTCCAGGCATTGGCTGTGATCACCACCACCTTAGAGCCCGCCGAGGCCGACAGGTCTGTGACATGAAGAAGAAACACACTCGGTCACCAGCTGCTGTGATTGAGAGGTTGAGTAAGAGCTACATATATGTTATGACTTTGTTGTGACATCTGTCCCTTCACCTGGGATTATGTATTATAATTAACAAAAACGATTAGAAATATTTTAAAATAATTAACTGAAATATAATAACATATTTTTATAAATCGTCTAGTCCAAGTTGAAGTTCTAAAAGAACTCAAACTAAAAAAAATTAAATTAAAAATTAATAAAAACCTAGTATTCATTTATTTGTTTTTTCATTTTTACTAGTTCTTTTTATATATCTATAACAAATTACAAAACAAAATTCCTAAAATTTTAAATTTAATTTAAAAATAAAGTTCAAAATCTAAACAAAAACTATAATATTATATCAATTACATTACATTAATACTAATCTTAACATCATGGAGTGCTAAATTATTAATATATTGTTTCTAGAATGTAATTTGGTTATAATGTCATTTTGATATAAATAAATCTGATGTTTAAAATTAAACTATACAGTATCTTTAAGGGTTAATTCCACATGTATGAGGACAAATTGAAATAAAATAATAAACTTAGAATATAAATATATATATATATTTTTCTTGTAATACTTTAATGAGAAACAGTGCAGTTACCACTAACTAAACAAACAAACAAAAAAAACATTACAAACTTTTTTTTAAAGACAAAATTAAAAAAATAGAAATATTAGAATAAAACTAAAACGGAAATAAAAATAAATAAAAATAGAAATATAATTGTACAATTTTAATCTAAATATTAAAAAAAACTAAGAAAAATGACAAAGCATAAAACAACAATTACTAAAACTAAAATTAAAATAAAAAGTAAAAATATAAAAATAAAAGCTAATTAACAGTATAAAGTACAAACAATATAACAGTATATAAATAATACTAAAATAACACTAATTGGAATTTGAAAATGTGTCTAAGTGTCATGAAAATGATTATCATAATGCAAAAAATAAATAAATAAAACATCATCTTTTGCAAAATATAACGCTGTATTGTTTCCTTTGATTTTGGGGTGAAACCTGACCCAGACGTGGACATAAATTGTGAGATTCACCCTTGATTTTACTAATTAAGATTTTATAATTCAGAAGTAAACTTTGCTTAAAGGGGTCATATGATGCTTTTTTTAAAGATCATTATTTTGTGTATTTGGTGTAACAGAATATGTTGACATGCTTTAATGTTCAAAAAACACATTATTTTTCAAATACTGTACATTATTGTAGGTCCTCTATGCCCCGCCTCTCTCAAACGCTTCGTTTTCTACAAAGCCCCTCCTTCCGACAAGCGCAGTCTGCTCTGATTGGCCAGCTGACCCAGTGCATTGTGGTGCTCTCTCTCTCAATTTCAATTTCAATTTAAGAGTGCTTTATCTCTCTCTCGCGCCCTCTCTCGCTAGCGTGCACACACACACACACACCGCTCTCTCTCTCACTCTCTCTCTCGCGCACGCGCGCACACACACACACACACACACAATGCGCAAAACTCCGCATTTGAACAGTCAATAGCAAATACTTAAACTCCTCTCCTAGGTTCACGAAACGGTCGTCCATAAAATGCATTGCTGTTCTGTTGTAAGTAATCTTAAAGATTTCTAAATGCATCTACTTTCGGAAGGCCAAATAAAGTGCTTTTGCTTTCGCCTAGAAACACACAGCGTCTCCCTGACATGCTGCTTCAACACTACCTGCTCCTGAAACCACGCCTTCTTTCTTTGCGTGAACATTTGGGCACATTATGCAAATATTTCCACATAGTGAGGTAGATATGTGGGGGCGTGTTAGAACAAGCCGTTTTAGGGGGGCGTGGCAGAGTCTTAACTTTGATAAAGAATATCTCTTTGGCTTTGAGGCTTTAGTCTTTGCAACTTCAGGGATCTTATCTATTCACAATCAGCTTGTAACACTCCAAAGAGAAAGGAAAACTTGAAATCGCATCATATGACCCCTTTAAAACTGCTTGAACTGTTCTTTACATATTAAAATTGAGGATATTTTCCAAGTGTGGTAATAATGTGTTAAATGTGGTGATGAAAAGCACCTTTTGAGACCTCGACCTTTGGTAAACCGAAAATCTCCAAATCCGTTGTGCCACCTTTGGTTGAGCTCTCAGGGATGTCAATCAAAACCAGTTTGTCAACACAGCCCTATGATGGAACGTTTGACAACACAGCTTGGTCAGAAAAATGCAGTTACATAGCCATAAGCTATTTCTGGCAAACAAAAGACATATATGTAGTTACTTTTGCCATAATACTCAACACAGCAGCGATTCCCAAATCTCCTCCGCCAATCACGGAGACCTTAACCTCCTGATCAAGCCGATTCCCACCTATAAGAGCAATTGCAGATCAATTATGATTGACTTCATAAAAGCAGTACTCTACATGCGCAGCTGCATATTTTCATGTCCATTCCAGACAAACCTTCGTTAAGGGTGAGATTTGACACATAGGCCAGCAGATTGTTGGGATTGTCGCCCTGTGCTGAAGATTTGGTGCCCAGTGGAGGTTCCTCCTCAAACTTAGCGATCATCTCTGCTAGAAGCCCGTTCACAGATGACTTCGGCTACAACGGCATTTTTTTTACTATTATTTATATATAATTTTAATTATATATACACATTTTTTATTACTTATACACTACAGGTCACAAGTGTGCAATAATTTATATTTTTTTATGGTTTTGCTTAACAAGGCTGCATTTATTTGATCAAAAATGCAGTAAATACAGTAATATTTTTTAAATAGTATTATAATCTAAAGTAACTGTTTTCTATGTAATTTATTTCTGTGATCAAAGCTGAATTTTCCGCATCATTACTCCAGTTTTCAGTGTCACATGATCCTTCAGAAATCATTCTGATATACTGATTTGTTGCTTATTATCAGTTATTATTGGCATTTAATTATTTATAAAGATTCATATTATTATTAATGTTTAAAACAGTTTTTGCTACTTAATATTTTTGTGGAAATCATTCAAAACCTTGGGGACAAGAATAAAAAAAATGAAAGAAAATTAATAATTGCCTTCACATTAAATTTGACAAAAGTGACAGTAAAGTCATTCATAATGTTACAAAAGATTTTTTTTTTCAAATAAATGCTGTTCTTTTGAAATTTCAGTTCATCAAAGAAAAAAAAAATCATGGTTTCCACAAAAATATTAAGCTGCAAAAACTGGTTTTAATTTTAATAATAAGAACTATTAATCATAATTAAGTACCAGTAATAACTGATAACAACTGAGCAGTAAATCAGCATATCAGAATGATTTCTGAAGGATCATGTGACACTGAAGACTGGAGTAATGATGCTGAAAATTCAGATTTGCAATCACATAAAGCAGCGATGAAAGGGCCCTTGCACCCGGGCTCACCGCCACCCGGTGGCTTTAGGAAAACAGCTAACGGTGGGCAATATGCATTTAAAGTGATAAATATAGGAGGTATAGGTCAAAGTCATTTATATGTGCCAATCTTCCTGCTGCCAGCTGGTAGCGCTATGACTGTAACTGAATGTTGGCATGTAGATGTCTTCAGACCAGGACTTTGAAATTTGGTGCAGATTAAACATGGTATTTTTGAGTTAGTGTAAAACATGAAATGTGCTGTTGCCAACAGGTGGCGCTATAAATTATAACTGAATATTGGCATGTAAATGTTTCCAGGCCAGGACTCTTATCAAACGTGTGAAGTTAAGGGCAGATCGGACATTGCATGTTTAAGTTAGTGTAAAACAAGTCATTTCTTGTTGCCAGCAGGTGGCGCTATAATTATAACGGAATATCGGGCTTAAGATGCGTTCAGGCCAGGACTCTAATCAAACATGTGAAGTTTGGGGCAGATTAGACACTGTATGCCAGAGTTACAGCAACTTCCTGTTTCATGGCGAAACATCACACTTTTTCTGGGTTTGGTCAGGTGATGTTCGACATATACCCTATTTAACATCACAAAGGCCTTAAGATAACCCTCACCAAATTTGAAGATGATCCAATTAAAACTGCAGGAGGAGTTCGTCAAAGTACGAGGCCTGGAAATGGAAAAAACTGCACAAAAACTGTACAGGAAATTCAAAATAATGTACTTCCTGTTGGGTTTTGGATTTTGTACCAAGAGACTTTTTTGTAGGTAATGGTGTGTTACATGTGTGTACCAAATTTTCGTACATGTACATAAAACGTAGCTTGAGGCGCACTCCGTTGAATGTGTACAGGTGGTGCTATCGAGCCATTTTGCCACACCCACTTCTGAAACATATCAGATGTCAATTTTTGCCAGTTCTGACGCGTGTGCAAATTTCATGAGCTTTGGAGCATGTTTAGGCCCCTTAAAAATGCGATTCAGTTTGAAGAAGAGGAAGAAGAAGAATTCCAATAGGGTCCTCACACCATCGGTGCTCGGGCCCTAAATATGAAGAGTTTGTTAGCATAAACAGATAACTCCGTTTTCAACAATTTTCAAAAATAATTTTTCATTGTGCATTCCAATTAATCTCAATCAAACTGCAGTTGGGTTATTTTGATTAGGATAAAAAATAACTAAAAAAATACAGCTAACTAACACAATAAAACACAATAAAAACATAATAAAAACCATAACTTTTGAACATTTAAAAAAAAACAGAGTTTCTGTTTTTGCAAATAAACTCATCATATATTAAAATAGAAAATGTTTTTTTATTATAATAATATTTAACAATATTGCTGTTTTTACTGTATTTTAATCAAATAAAAGCAGTCTTGCTGAGCATAAGAAAGATCTTTTATTAAAATATAAAAATATCTATAAATAAAAAAAATATTTAAAAAAGAAATTATCAATTTAAATTCATAAAATAAATTCATTTTTAAATTAAATTTAAAGGGGTCATATGTCATTTCTCTTTGGAGTGTTACAAGCTGATTGTGCATAGATAAGATCCCTGAAGTTGCAAAGACTAAAGTCTCAAAACCAAAGAGATATTCTTTATAAAAGTTAAGACTCTGCCACGCCCCCCTAAAACGGCTTGTTTTCTAACACGCCCCCACATATCTACCTCACTATGTTCACGCAAAGAAAGAAGGCGTGGTTTCAGTAACCGCAGTTAGTGTTGAAGCAGCATGTCAGGGAGATGCGGTGTGTTTCTAGGCGAAAGCAAATGCACTTTATTTGGCCTTCCGAAAGTAGATGCATTTAGAAATCTTTAAGATTACTTACAACAGAACAGCAATGCATTTTATGGACAACCGTTTCGTGAACCTAGGAGAGGAGGTCATTCTGACTTTGCTATGACAATCTGGCGCTTCTGAATCAGCTACTGTTTTGTTATTAGTTCAAGTATTTGCTATTGACTGTTCAAATTACAAATTACAGCAAAATAATCAAAAATGGCGATGTCCATAAACAGGGTTTCTGCTGGTTTTATGAAGATAAATTCAAGACTTTATAAAGACCTTTTAAATACCAATTATAGAAAATTCAAGGAATAAACTGAAGGGAAAATAATATGTCAAATTATGTTCTCAAAATTCTGAAGCGGTTTTCCAATGCAAATATCTACATTTTCTTAAAGGGTTCACCCAAAAAAGAAGGGAAAAAAAGAAAAGAAAACGGTCATTTACTAAACCTCAAGTTGTTCTGAACCTGAATGAGTTTCTTTCTGTGACAAGTCCCAGATAGTCTAACACACTACACAACTCCACAACGTGTTGCAACCACAGATCACCAAGATTTCTTCTTCTATTACCTGGACCACATCACTGCAGATTGATGGTGCTCAGTTTAGTCACCCACAACTGTAATTCCAACGGTCATGTCCTTGATGAATTCCTGCTCCGAGCCTGTGTGCTTTAATAGAAACAAAGGGAAGCATTAAAATGTGCCTTACAATCGTAAAGCTTACAGACTCCAATAAATGTGCATTTATAAAGTAAATAAATTTACTTACAACTTTGTCCAAGCTCTACAATGTGAATGTCATTTCCATTATGTCTGCATAGCATTTTGATGGATAAAACTGCAAAAGGACTTGCTGCGGTCCATCCACAAGATTATTGAATTCTGCGCTGATCTTCAGTCATTCCAAAATATCATAAACATGAAAAATACAGAAACA